TAAATCTACTTTAACTTTGATAAAAATACAGCGACAGTAGCTGCCGCACTATTGTGGTAAATAACTGTTCACTGCTTTCTTTGTTGAAGTGGGAGGATTCCCGTACCTACTCATGCTCACCGGAAGTACATGCAGTCAACAATTCAGATATACAATATTCTGTTATTGACAGCTACAATGTCCATGTCCCCGTCGACGCGCGGCGAGCAGAGGAGATGCTCGAAGGGCGGCTGAGGTGCGACGAGAAAGCCACCTCGAAATCCAAATCGGGCAGTCGACGAACGTCAATAAACCGACGCGCGTAGTCGCTTAGCCGCCTTACATAATTCCGGTAAAACCTCGGACGACGAGTTGGGCCAGCCGTCTCATAGCGTCCTCATCCTCACCGTTCGGCTTAATCAGGAAATACAACTATAAATAAACTACATTATATAAGCCATATTAGATAACATCTTCACACACGCCCTAGCAGAGAGGATCGAGGACGCGAGACGGATGGTTCTAGGAGCCTGGGAACCACCCAAACGTTGGGGTGCACCAAGCATATACTGACATAGACTGTCAGCGGATTTGAGCCTGGGGTCGAAAATGTGTCTGCGGAAGATTGGGTTGGGGCGAGCGCAGCCCCGCTGCATTCACTATAAAGCGGCTAGGCCGTCAAAGAAACGGACAACTCGTCCGTTGACTTCGCCCCCAGTGCACCTACACAAAATCCTGAGCATGTCATCCGATCAGAAGCCCTACATTATCCATACTAATGAAACCCCCCTAAATCCAACATCGCACAAACTCAACCCGAAGGTCTATCGGGAGCAGCTGCGCCTCGGGGACCTCACCGGACTCACGAAGACAGGCGTACACCTCTGCCGCCTGCCTCCGCACAACGAGAGCACCGTCATGCACTGGCACAACAACGATGACGAATGGATCTACGTTATAAGCGCAGGAGAGGGGGCGGTGATGCGTATGAAAGAGGGGGTCAAACAAGTCGAGGACGTCCCGGTGAAGGAGGGCGATTTTTTCGGGTTCCCGGCTGGGTCGCAGAATGCGCACGCGCTGAGGTCCGGGGAGCAGGAGATACTGTATCTGGTGGGTGGCAGCAGAGAGGCGCTGGATGTGTGCACCTATCCGGAAGCGAAGGCGAGAGCAATTGTGGATAGGACCCTAGGTGGAAAGTCGTGGGGCGTGCGCGAGGACGCAGTTGTACAGGCGTAGCCGGGGTTCGATCGGGCTGCCTCAGGGTAACAACTGCAGCAGAAAATCTTACCTACGCGCACTATACAAGAACGAGCGGATGATGTCCGGTTAAGTTCCAGATCAACAGAGCTCCCAGGGCGCGTATGCGGAGAGCGCAGGCCATGTCGAGTTCCCGACTCAGCACAAGGCCCACTCGAGTCGTCCAAGACACATTGTCCGCAGAAACATCGATCGTATAAGCGCCGCGTTCCCTGCGGGCATACGAATGCCGACTCCTGAGAAGACGCTATCAGCCGGAATCAATAATGTCGACAGGAAGTCAGCTGATATCACCGTGGGGTTGAGCATGTGCGTGCAGCGGGAGGCGGCGTAGCCTCGCCACAGTGCCGCAAACTCGCTATAAAGCGCATTTTCACAAACAACTCCACACATACCTCTAAATCCAGCATCTGCACTGAAGTCGCACCATGTCATCCGAGCAAAAGCCTTACGTGATCCATACCAAAGAAACCCCTCTCAAACCGACATCGCACAGGCTCAATCCCAAAGTTCACCGAGAGCAGCTGCGCCTGGGTGACCTGACTGGCCTCACGAAGACCGGTGTCCACCTATGCCGCGTACCTCCACATAACGATAGCACCGTGCTGCACTGGCACAGCAACGAGGATGAATGGGTTTACATCGTGAGCGCAGGAGCGGGGGCGGTGATGCGAATAAAGGAGGGAGACAAAGAGGTCGAGCATGTGCCAATAAAAGAGGGTGATTTCTTCGGGTTTCCGGCTGGGTCGCGAAATGCGCATGCGCTGAAGTCCGGGGAGGGCGAAATAGTGTATCTGGTGGGGGGCAGCAGGGAGACGTTGGACGTGTGCACCTACCCAGAAGTGAACGTGAGAGGGGTGTTGGATAGGACACCAGGCGGGAAGTCTTGGGACGTGGGCGAGGAGGCAGTCGTACAAACATAGGAGATACAAATGCAGCAGATAATTGCAGTTATTTTCTTTCTTGCTGCTCCATATCCATCGTGGACGTTTCATATCAGCAAATTGCACTGAAATGGGCAGAAACACATGGATCCTAGACCGCCAGTCCTAGTCAGGAGGAGCAACGGATGCGGCGCCAGGACCCCTTACGAAACGACCGCCCGCGATTTGCCGATTCGGGCAGTGTATCTTTTCCCGCTACCACTTGGAAGTGTTGCTCTCTGATAGAATGCTACAAGCAGTTAAACAAGCAAGCTTCTGGTTCCCCACCTCTCTGCGCCCTACTGATTGTAGCGGGACCGAGCGGACATGACCAAGCCGAAAGCTACTAATATGCTGAGTAATTATGACAGTCGAGCCGCGAGGACGCGTTCACTAAGGCGGTAAGGGACAGTAGCCATATATATGAATCCGAATGGCCTGGGGGGATAAGAACTAGCTGCTGCATTCCCTCATGAGCTTGCCTACGCGCAAAATCGGTAAGGACTCCGTCACCGCTATTGGATACGAAGCAATGGGCATCTCTGCCTTCTATGGCAAGACTTTACCTGACGAGGAACGGTTCAAGGTGGGGTAGCAATCATGAGTCTATCTTGTCGTGCTAATATATATATCAATATGCGATGTAGTTCCTTGACACATTGTATGAAAGCGGCTGCACTAACTGGGACACGGCCAATGTATATCTCGACTCGGAGGAGTTGATTGGCAGACGGTATGCATAAGTGATAACCTTGTATTCATCGCCTCTGACCAGTCATAGGCTCCAGCGCACCGGGAAGCGCAAGGATATATTTCTTGCCACGAAATTCGGCTTCACCCACTGAGCAGATCGCCCGATCAGCGGCGATCCAGACTACGTTAAGCAATGCATAGGGAATTCATTGAAGAGACTATCAGCCGACTATGTTGACGTATATTACCTTCATCGGCGAGTCCATCAGTCCTCTCTTTGTATTACACCGTCTAAGTTTTCCACATAGCGCTGACCCGAAGGTGCCCATAGAACTTAGCGTCGGAGCCCATGGACGAGCTCGTCAAAGAAGGAAAGAACAATATATAGGATTATCCGAGATATCCTCGGCCACCGGGCGCACGCAGTGCACCCCATCGCTGCCGTCCAGGTGGAATACTCACCGTTCACCCTGGACATTGAGGACGAGCAGATCGGGCTGCTGAAGACGGCCCGGGAACTGGGAGCTACGATCGTCGCATACAGCCTGCTCGGAAGAGGACTGCTGACTTGAAGATACGTGAGTCTAAGTCGTGTATCTCCGCCCAGTGGACGGGCTTTTTATTGACTATATACAGATTCCCGGGACAGACATCGCCCGATGACTTCGAGGAGGGTGATTTCCGCAGAGTGGTTCCTCGGTACTCGAAGGAGAACTTCCCGAATATCCTCAAGCTGGCCGACGGTCTCAAGGCTATCGGTGAGCGGCATGGGGCGACAGCCGGGCAGATCGCTCTCGCCTGGCTCTTGTGCCAAGGGGAGGATGTCATCCCAATCCCTGGGACGACGAAGGTGAAGGTTGGTATCTCTGTACCGCACCATGCAGTGTTAATACGCTCATTTCTGTGGCACAGAACCTGCAAGAGAACCTAGGTGCGGCATCAATTGAACTCACGCAAGACGAAATCGTGGAGATTCGAGCCCTGGCTGAGAAGTCAGACGCGGTGCAAGGAGCGAGGTATCCACCGGGGATGGACGATTATCTGTGCCTTGATACTCCCCCTCTTCAGAGGTAAACATTGGTCGTACGGGAACATAAGCAATGTACACGGATTGAGAAAGGAAACCCTTAGGATGTTTGACTCCCCAGAACAACCCCGGGACAGGTAGCGCCATGACGCACAATATGTTGTATCGCACTTTTACCTGTTGTCTGATTTACGAGCCCCTCGCTTGTTTGCCAGGCTCCCTGCTTCTTCCTAAGTGCCGCCTCTCCCTCTCATGGTTTGCTCAAGGTCACGATGTCGCGAACCTTTGGACGGATGCGGCGATTCGGACAACGTATAATCTAGCAACCAGGCTGCTGGATAAAAAGATTTCGAAAAGAAAAACGTTAACCTGGGCTTGATGCCAGGTTGCTGGATAGAGCTATCCGTTTCTTGCGTACAATGAAATTATAATGAATCTATTTACTGCAAGTGTAGCCCAATTGTGGCGGCAGTGACGTAGTTTAACCTCCTTCCATTTATGGAATGAGAGCCCAGGGAACACCGCGTTCGATGGCTGCACTGCCAGTGCGCGTCGTCTACGATGTCCACAACGTCCGCAACGCCCCCTCCCACGACGAGCTCGAGCGATATACCAGCACCGAAACCTGAACGTCCTTCCGCAGGCAGTCGACTTCCCTCCTTGAACCAGCTGGCCGCCCGCATCGGCGCAAAGGACAGCTCAAATGCCTCTACGGCGACATCGAGGCCTCGGCTGGCGGCCTCTCTACTGCGTACTGGTTCTACAAGCTCACTAGCTACCAGTGCAACGTCAGCATCGACGGTCGACTCGACAGCAGTTAATGCACCGACGACACGCTCGACGTCGCCGGCGGCTCTCTCGACGTCACCGCCTGAGTCCAAGTCCACCACCCCCATTCCGTCCGACAATCAGGGCGAGCCGCTGACCGCGGAGAAGCTGAAGGAACTGAATCAGGAGACGGAGAAGAAGGTGAAAGTAGGCTACAAGAACATCCCCAGTCTAGATGCGATTACAGCGAGGCTGGCGAAAGCGCGGACGCTCAGTATTGATGGGAGTGCGAAACCGCCCGAGGCGGAGACGATTGAAGATCCGCAAACACCTGGTCTGAGGATAAAGGCACCCGAGCACCCCTTGGAGAACAAGTGGTAAGTGAATCGGCATCTGCAAACGAACCCCAGTTGTAACGCTGGCAATAGGACGCTATACCACGACCAGAAAAATGCTGTTCCATTCACGCCTGCGACGGCCCACGTGGAAGGGTCGTTCGCGCACAGCGCGGCACCTGAGTCGGGCGAGTACGAGGCGGGGCTCACGGTTGTCGGCGAATTCGACACGGTGGAGTCGTTCTGCCGGTACTTTAACTGGCTGAAGCCGCCGTCGAAGTTAGAGCGCAATTCAAACTACCATCTCTTCAAGTCAGGGATCAAGCCGATGTGGGAAGACGAGGCGAACGCAAACGGGGGCAAGTGGGTGCTGACGATGAAGAATAACCCAGCGCTGCTGGATCGGTGCTGGAGTTGGCTTGCGATGGCGCTAGTAGGAGAGGAACTTGACGAGGGCGATGAGATCTGTGGTGCCGTGGTCAGTTTGAGGAGCAAAGTGGACCGGATCCAGCTGTGGACGAGGAGCAAGGACGACCTGGAGAAGCTGAACGGGATAGCGAAGAAGATGGTGAAGATCCTGGACGTTTCTGAGGCGGATGGTATTGGATTAGAGTTCCAGGTATGTCTGAGTACTTCCGCAGAATCCTTCTGTCTAACCGTCCATGTAGTACAATACGGACGACCGACCTCCACCCAACAAGTTCCTTTCCATCCAGTCTATGCCGCAATCCTCCTTCCGCTCGTCATTCCAGGGCGGCGGCGGAGGAAAGTATGGCAGCCCTGTTACTGGTCCCGGAGAGGCCGCCAGCCCGATCAGCGGTGCACCTGCGCCGGGCGGTGCCTTCGCTGGGTTCGGTGTAGGTGGGTTTGGCGGCGGTGCCGGGTGGAGAGGCAAGAAGCCTTAGGGAACGGGTGAAAGAACTCAGCAGTATCTTGTAAGTGTACAATTGTCAAGAGCTATCAGGGCTTGGAATTCTTGGTGGTACCGTTGTGTACAAACCGTCGAAATGTTTGTGGTGTCCCCTTGCTAGTTTGTGTATTGTTGAATGCGTTGTAGTACTCCGTGCATGGGCGTAAGCATAAGTGGTTGCCTTTGGATCAGCCAGTGGCATCGAGATGTAAGTACGGTCGACCTGGCGATGGTACAACGGGTGACAGGTACAGCAGGGGTCATCACTAGCGTACTCCCAAGGCATTGTATGGTAGATATTTACATGTGCGTATGCTAGTATGCTAGCGCTATCGCACGGCCTGTCCAGGAGTTTTAGATGAACATAACAGTCAGTCATCAGCCTGAGGGCGCATTCAATGCGTCTCTTAAAATGGCCCTCCCGGCGGCGTTACGGTTTAATGCGGGTATTCCTGCCTCCATCCAATAGCTCTCCTCTCCCTGAATGTGCCGGAGCCACAGACGTTGTGGCTCCTCTGGATTTTTGACCAGATCGTGTATTGGGGCTTCCTCTTGGATAATGATTCGTGCTTTGTTATCTCTGACGGCAGTGTGGGATAGAAAGGCCAGTGTGGTTCGATAGGCTCGATATTCTAAGGAATCGCCTAACCCGTGGGACACCAGCGGTCGGACGAGGATGCGCTGCACGTTGGGAGACAAACCATAGCGGTACAATGTTGAATCGGGATCCGAGTCGGATCCCTCGAGTTCCTGTAGTACTTCCCGCCATTCGATAGCAAGGTTGGTCGAGAGGCTGATATGTGTCAAGTGGGGGCTAGAGCTGGTGATGCTCCGAACCACGTTTCTTCCTGAAGCCAGGTCAAATGAGGGGAACTCGTCAGGAGAGGTAATGCTGCATTTGTAGAAGACCCCCTGGATGTGTATACACCTGAGATTTCGGAACTCGAAGCCCGGAACGACGAAGGGGACTGCCGGCGCCTCGCAGTTGCCATGCACCATCAACTCTTCCAACGCAGGAAGCACGATGGGCGAGAGAATGAATTCTCTCTTTTCCTCGATGATCAGCAAGGACAGCACGCGAAGGGATGCGGCGACCAGTACCAAGATGCGGCAAAGGGTGCCGTACTCCAGCACTGGACCACTTCGTCTGGGATAGTCGCGAATGAAGAGGTAAAGTACTCTCCGCTCCCGGGAGCAATGTTTCATCAGCTGCTTTATGAAACGGTCTGTCTGTGACTCTCCTGCCAGCGCTACTGACTGGTACCGCTGACAAGCTGATGCCTCGTTGATGTACTTCGATACCAGGGAAAGCGAACGGCCTGTTCTGCCATCATCCAGGCAAGCGAAGCTGAAGATTCTCCGCCAGACTTCGACTGGTAAGCGGTTCATCGCCGGCAGTTTGTAAAGATGCGGCGCGTCCATGACTCTGGCAATGCGAGTGATGAGGCTTAAGCTTCCGCGTCTACGAGCGGGGACAGCTGGAGTCTGTTGGCCTGTCCAAACCCACTAGTATAAGCCTTAACGAATGCTCGTGAGCGGACTAGAAAGCGAGCTGCGTACTGCTATGCTATTAGATGTGCGAATTCAAAGGGGAAACCTCCGCGTGGTCCGACTCTAGTTCTCACCTTATCTTGCCACAATCATCAACATGTACAAACAGCGCAACGTTGCTGCTCTGCAAGCGTCTCTCCTCATCCTTTATGTCCCAGTCTACAGGCACCTTCGTCGTCTCTTCCTAAGCAAGATGGGCAGGAATAGGCAACAGTTGCAATTTTGGACCAAGGGGATAGGAACAGAGACCTCGAACTGAGTAACATTCTCGTCGCAGAGCCAGGCCAAAGTTCACATCGTCACGGCATAACGTATGTATTACTAACCTCTACTTTTCCAGAGGGGGCGTATCAGAGAAAAGCGTTTCAACCAGATCTGGCGGATACCGTGCTCCTTGCGCGGAGTTGGACTTCTCAGCCAAAGCCCGAATCTCCTCCACTTCCTGTTGTGTAAGTTTAACTGATACAGCACCTAGGTTCTCTTTCAGGTTCTATGATAACAGAATGAGCAAATCCCCGAATATCATGAGGCATAGGGATATTGACCTCAACTTTCGTCGTTCCTGGGATAGGGATGACATCGTCGCCTTGGGCTAGGAGCCAGGCTAGCGCGACTTGCCCGGCTGTCGCACCATGCCGTTCACCAATGGCCTTCAAACCATCGACAAGCTTGAGGATGTTGGGGAAGTTCTCCTTCGAGTATCGAGGTACTCTTCTGCGGAAGTCACCTTCATCGAAGTCGTCGGGAGATTTCTGCAGCGAATGCCCTACGGTCAACTACACTCCCCACTGAATCGGGTAATATACCACTTACGTATCTCCCAGTTAGCAGTCCTCTGCCGAGTGGGCTATAAGCGATGATCTTCACGCCCAGTTCTCGAGCCGTCTTCAATAAACCGATCTTCTCGTCCTCAATATCCAGGGTGAATGGGGAGTATTCCACTTCGATAGCGGCGATAGGGTGCACAGCGTGCGCTCGTCGCAATGTAGCCGATGAGATCTCGGACAAGCCAAGGTATCTCACTTTCCCTTCTTTGACGAGCTCAGCCATAGCTCCGACGGTGATTTCAATGGGCACTTTCGGGTCAGCACTAGCCAGTGATCAGTGCCAAATCACTCAGAGGCTGCAGAGATATGCATACCGGTGAAGATAGTAAAGGTCAACATAATTTGTGCGTAATCTTTTCAAAGACTTCTCTATGCATTCCCTGACATATTCTGGGTCGCCGTTGATCACCCGGCCCGGTTGGCGAGCGACTCCGAACTTGGTGGCGAGGAAGATGTCCTTCCGTCTCCCTGTTTTCTCGAACCTGGAATTCGTCAGTCCACGAAACCCACATCTGTAAGGCACATACCATTTACCAAGCAACTCCTCCGAGTCGTGGTAGACATTGGCTGTGTCCCAATTAGTGCAGCCGCTTTCGAACAACGTGTCAAGAAACTGATGGCATAGCTTCAGCCCGACAGAAACTATGAAGAATTATCTCCTCTCCGTACCTTAAGACGCTCCTCATCAGGCAGAGGCTTGCCGTAGAAGGCAGCTATACCCATTGCGCCATAGCCAATGGCAGTAACCACATCCTGTCCGATTTTACGCGTAGGCAGCAGCGACATGACGGATTCCGCTGTGATACTTCCCTTGAAACCTTGGTCGTCCGGACCATGCCGCCCTCGAGCTTATATACCCGCGTCCTCATCGACCTTAAGCACACGCGTACGCGTTTCGCGGCTCTTACTCAGCACTAGATGCCGACGCCATTGACTGTAGAGAACGTGTTGGAGAGTCACTGTTTCGCATTCTCCATGATAGATAACAAAGAATCGTGTTCTTTTCCTGTTATCAATCAATCTTCACCATTGCAGTGCTGCACAATTTGAAAGTACGGATCTATTAATGCCCGGTCAATACGATCAGACTGGAGTTGATTAAATACGTCTTCACAATGTACGATGTGCAAGTAGGCCGTTCATCGGTCTGCCTCATTGGACCTCTGCTTGCAAATGTTACTGCAGTATCAAAGACTGTGTCGCACCAGAACGGGCTTGACACAGCACTCAAATTGATCGGCCTTCCTAGTGGCAGATGAGCCTCTCAGCCTGGTTGGCAAATACAGAAGCTACTCACGAAATGACACCAGACGAGAAGTCCGGAGCAGCTGGTTTGAATGATTCCGGCTCAGGGCATACTTCAGGGTCATGCAATATGGACCTTAGGGGCTCCTGGTAAGCGCTGGAAAGTCCTCAGGCCCGCAGTGCGACATACCAAACGTTCGCGAATATCACAGAACCCGAAGGTATGAATTACCCCTCGTACTCGTCGTCAGAGACAGACATGTGCGGGAACCCCGGGATAGTACCCCATAGACCTGAAAGAATGATACCAACCCGAATGACCTACCGTACGGTGTTATTACCCGCCATCGTTGAACCTCTTTGATGATAGCAGAAATATATGGCAGGTTCGGTTGATCGTTGAACTCGGGCAATCGGCACTCTCCTAAGACTTCGTCCAACTCCTGTTGAGCCTTGCGCTGAACATGGGGGCCGTTCGCCACGGCCAGGAAGAAAGTTCGAGTAAAAGCCTCTATCTCTAGAGGAAATAAGTCTTACTAAATGATTGGAAGAGAACGATGCTCACGGTATCTGTGCCAGCTGTAGATAATATCCAGGAAAGATCAGCCGGCTCGATACTCAATACTGCAGCCCGCCTGTGTATCCTAGCGCGGCGGTGTTCCTGGCGAGTATCTCTGCTTCCTGTTGATCGGAGGCCTCCGATACTTGCTGCATCAGCGCCGATGCCACTGACGGCGTTGCTTCACCCTTGAGCTGCGAATACGTGTTAGAGGGCCCTGAAACACATTGACCTTCGGGGCACTCACAAATTTGTCCTTAGTTTCATGGTAGGGCACGTCTCGCATATCCAATGTCCATTACTTCCAGATCCGTGCCTTGCGCTTGAAGTCTGCGAAAGGGAGCCAGCTAGGAATATATTTCACCAACCAGCGTGGTCAGCTCATTTCAGCGTTAGGGCAGTCAGCGGTTCTACGTACAAATCAGTACCTGATCGACGAGGAAGGAGCCCGCTTGACGGCGGGCTTGATTGTAGATATGGCCTTCTCCGCGATTTCAAGATATTTATCGTGGTCAGCTGTCACCGAGATGCCGTATGACACCCATTACCAGAGCGCCGAACGTACTATAGTAAGCATATATTCAGTTCACCTTCAGAAGCCAGATCAAAGTGACCTACAAGCGCGGATGCTTGAGCAAGTTGGCGGGGTCCTGAAGAAGGCGGCCAAGGAGGGCATGCGATTCCCGGACTTGAGCGCCCCTATTATGGGCCATCCCGGCGGTCCAGGAGGCAAAGTAAGTCTGCGAGGGTTCCTACGCTGTGAGTACTTCAGCGCAAAAACCACGGCGATAAGCGATAAAATGAGGAGATAGGATATCATCTCATAGGCAAGCGGACGATACTCGCTATATGATGTACGTGGATCTGAATGATGGTGACATCCCGCGTCCCTTGATACAATACTGGAGAAAGAATCTTTTTCCGTCTTGTGATAGTCCATGGGTGGCGACTGGAATAGATGTCTGCGTCACGGTAGTACGATGCCCTTTGTTGTACACAAACAATAACAACGTCACCAGATGCGTTGGAGTGGAGGGGTGTAGCATGTAAATCGTCCAAGCCGAGTAACGAGATACATTGTGGCAAGGTTTCCAGTCATTGATTGGACGCCACCGCCAAACTTTGTCTAGACGCCGCAAAGACTGGTGTAGCCCCGATCGTGGAAGCGGAACCTTGGAAGGCGTTGGAAGATGGGGTTGTGAGGACCCATGTAGTTCAAAAACAGCGTTTGGGATCCTATCATCTTGACAAAATTCGGATCGGCGAAGAATGTGAACTGGAAGTCCAGCGCAAACCCAGTCCTGAGAGTGTTCCACTTGCCCGCGTTGAGCAGAAGGCAGCGCTTGTACTATATTCGGTTCTTGCGGATGATCTCATAGTTGATGGGAGATATGGTGTTTCTGGATAGTTGCAGCTAAGGCGAGGCGGCTGGAATCAACGCAGGCGGCTGAATATGCTTTTCGAGCAACCCAGTCCTTCCCAGCGTCCCGGCTACCATCGTCACCGTCGGGCTGCTGAGAATGAATCGACGTAGCACTGGAAGCTTGGCCAGGTTTATGAGTTTTAGCCCAGTTTTTATGCCGATGAATACCCTAAGCGTAGTTCGGTACCCTATGCGGAGTCGTAAAGGAGGTCCATGAAAGAATTGAGGATTATAAGTTCCTAATGACGGATATGGCGGCGAGCCCTCCAAGACTCGAATTCGAAGTCAACCCAGGTCTGACCAATCACAACGCAACCGCCTCAATCTTCAGCCACCTTGAAGTTGCTTCTCTCCTACGCCATACTTCAATCTCCTTGCAGCGTCGGGCTGTACAAAATGTTCAAGTTTGAATTTGATCTTCAAGACGACCTTGACGACTTGGATGCTTTTTCGGCTAGCGAAGGGAAGACGGTAGACGAGAAGTCGAATGGCAAGGAGCTCCCAGAGTCGGCACAGACATTCGGAGAGATATCTCTAGACGATCTTGTTCGTGAGCTTGTCGAACCTCTACAGCTGGTCGGGTTTAACGACGTCAGTTCGGCAGTCTTCCGTCGTTGATCTCGTATTCTCCTCTTCAAGCCCTGCTGTCGTCCGGTGAACACTTGACGTTCGCTCGGCGGGACCTCTTCGATGCTCGCTTCCAGCTCATCTCAGGCTCCGGCGAAGAAACTAGGTATGGAGAGGAACAGGCTGAGGACCACGCCACGGCATTGCAGTTTCTCGACGCGCCGTCCGATCTTGTACCGGGAGTGTACGAGGGCGGCTTGAAGACATGGGAATGTAGTATCGATTTAGCCGCTTATCTGGATGAGCTGAAGTTGACTTACAATGGGAAGCGGATACTTGAGGTGCATGCGATTTTCCCCATATTGCCTCAGGGGTGCTAAACTGCTTTTGACTAGCTGGGATGTGGGACCGCTATACCATCTCTATATATCCTACGCAGCTTGTTCTCATCTTCTCAACAATCTGAGGCGCCATCAGAAACCAATATTCACCTGCAGGATTATAACCGCTCAGTGCTCGAACTAATCACATTTCCGAATGTCCTCCTGGCATGGTGTACGTTTAGAGAATCTTTCTTGATTGTTACTCCCTGTTCTGATATATCTCTCAACCTTATTTAGACTTATCCCCAGCGTCTTTGTCATATCGAGAGAGCGCAGCAGATCCACTACCGCCTGTGGAACCCGCCCAGCCAAACGAACTCCCCATAACTCCAAGTCTCACGGAAGCATTCCGTACTTCGCTTTTATTATTAAATATCAAAATACGGTTCTTTTACGGGTCTTGGGACAGCTTCGACCTCTCCCGTGCGAACGGTAAATACGATGTTGTCCTGACCTCGGAAACCATATATCGGACGGACAGCCTCGGGAGTCTCGTACAGCTCCTATCCGACGCCTGTGCTGAGGATGACTCTCTCGCGAAAATGACGGAAGCCAAGTTGTCACTTGCACCCTCGCAGAATGGCAGCCCCACATCTCTGTGCCTTGTCGCGGCCAAGGTGCTATACTTCGGCGTCGGCGGAGGGGTCTCAGACTTCATCCATGCGGTGGAGGATCCAGATATCTATTCCTGTAGGGAACGAAAAAGGAGAAGGGGGGACGTAGAGACGGTGTGGGAGAAGACGGGTGGTGTTGGCAGGAAAGTGCTTCGGGTGAAGTGGTCTTAGGTTGCGGCGGTGCGGACGGTTCACTAGTTCTTTTTTTCAGGAGGTTAGTTAGTTCGACGTGTCAGAATGGGAACGAGGCCTGACAGATATCCTCTGAGTACGCTTGTGGTCACGCAGCGCTCGTAAATCCCGCGGACTGCATCTCCAATCCTTGAGTTCCTACGCAACTCATGTATCGCTGATATGGACAATGTCGTGCGCACAATCCAGGCTGGTAAGACACTTCTCTGAAGCCACGCCTGCAGTGGATCGCCGCTTTCTCCTGCTCCTCACTAACTTAACTACGCCTCAAGGGCGGATCTCAGAGGTCGTTGCTGAGTGAATTGGCCCATGTCTGCTAGCTCTTATTGCAGGGTCAGGCTTCTAGTTATAATTACTCGGAAACTATGGGTACCTGATGTACCTGATATCAACACGAGTCGCTCCGAGAATCGGTCCTGAGGGATGTGTGTGCCTCTTTTTCGAACCCTGCCTTTCGTGCGCATCCTTCTCTACCTTGATTATCACGACTGCACTATTCAGGCGAAGGCCGTTCCTAGGCTGTATGGAGCCCTTTATGCCCTTTGCTGTGTCTTGCTCGTAGCGACCAATGGACGACTGGAAACCCTCCGGACATCGCGGGTCATCTCGCGCGCCGCTCTGTCATGCCTTTCTTCTTCGCTTGCAGACACTATGCCGTGGTGCAGAGATCCTCCTCACTCTTTACGGTATAATGGCATTATCATGAACAAGGCAAGGCAGAGGTAAGTATATCAACGGTTCCGAGTCTCACACTGTGCGGCGCATGACATTTGCGGGGCCCCATAGTAATACGCCACTATCGACCTGCCACTACCAAGTAATGGCAGCTCACGCGGTGAAACCTATTTTTCGGTCAACGGATGTTATTTAGAAGCTGATACGTTATCGTCTTCTATGCACGTCTCGCCTTCCAGAAGAATCCAATAACTGCCGTCGGGACGACATTGTCTCTCGCCATTGTAGCACTTTTATTCGTACTCGCTGGGCTAAGTACTGCGACTCCCGCGAATACTTCCTTTGCCTCCTGGACCTCCGGGATGCCCCGTAATAGGGAATCTTTTCGATTTACCTGTAGTGCACTCATGGCTAACATGCGATAACCGGGCTAAGGCTACGGTGAGTTATCACTTACACTGGACCATGGATACGATTTCACCGGAAGGCGGGGACCAGGTGACCTAGCGTCTGTCCGTGCTTTGGTCGCAATATAATTATTCTCGGGTCCTACAAAAGCCGTGGATTTGCTGCAGACTAGGTCTATGATCTACTTAAGTCGGCCCGATGCATCCAGGGTGAACGATCTGTAGGTGCAGTGGCATTTTCGACAATCGATTTCCTAACCACTGCCGTAGAAGGAGAGATGGAGAAAGCATTGGCGGGCCTTCTATCAGTTTCTCAATTCAGAGGTTTACCAGAAGTACCGGGACGTTATCTGCGGAAGTCGCGAGCAATGCTGGACCGCTTGCTCCAAGATCCTTCCAACACTAGTGAGCCATACCGGGTTGAGCTTATGAGTGGAGTTAAATATATTTCAATATAGTATGTCCGGATCTTTAGTAACGGACGTCTCATATGGCGTCTCTGGGACAGCAGATGAGACCGGTACCTCATAATTGTGGAGAGGGCCTTATATGCACTCTTGCCTATCGTTACCCCTGTGACCTGCCGGTTCGTATGTATGACAGCGCCGTGGTAAATCCCCCATAACTGAGACATCCTTTAGTGAAGTACATTCCGAGCTGGTTACCTAGCAGGGTTCCAACGCAGGGCGGGGGTATGGAGGCAGTTGGCACTGGACATGCGTGAATACTTGTGAGTTCCCCCGAGATAATTTATATCCCACAATGAATTGACGTGCAGATTTCAGGCCAGAAACATCGCCATCAATGACGACTGTACCGGAAGCATCTGAGGCCCCGGATCAGCAAGAAGCAGATATGTTGGCGAGAAGCACCGCGTTAATAGGATATGTAGGTAAGTCCCAAAGTACATACCGATCCAGCTTATATTTCACTTATACGGTAGGCTTATGCACGCGGAGACCTCAAGTACTGACGACGAACACGGAAGGTCGATACTACACGACCCTGAAGTGTACCCTGATGCAGAAACCTTTGAACCGGAACGGTTCATCGAGAGGGGCAGGCTAGACCTAACTGGCAAGGATTCTGACGAAGCAGTGTTCGAATTTGGTCTCCGGTAAGCCCTAACCTCCGGCACAGTCGGCATGTCTGTTCTAATACGGGACCTTCTAGAGTTTGCCACGGTAGATGGGATGCCAATGACTTGAATTATCTCCTCGTCTCCCAGGTCCTCGCTTGTTTCGTATTCACAGCCCCTTGTGACGTGCAGGACAGGCCTGAGCATCTTGCTCCAGATTTCTCGTCTGGTGTTATTTCGTAAGTTATTCCTGTACATGTTAACGAGGTTAAGAGACTTCGCTCCTAGCATTGCAGATCCATTTGAATGTCGTCTCAAGCCCCGTTTGGATGCGACACGGCATCTAATCCTACATTCACAGTTGCAGGTTCACAGTTGCAGGTGCATGCCGAATGAGGTAGAATGACGAACAGCTTCCTGGCAGATCTTCAGGGCGTACTTATTATATCAAGGGTCTGAACATACAGTATGCTTCGGGATCGGCTGGAACTATGTTCAAAACTACAACACTATGTACGGCCATCGATTCGTATCCTGATGGCATAGCATTGCACCGATACAGTATTTACAGATCCATCTGCAAACAAGGATCGATGATTCTTTCTTATCTGCTAAGCGGCATGCAGTGCCTCTCCTATGACCACGCATCCTGGCGGCAGTGGTGGGTATTCAGACGTGCACTTTACAACTTAATAATCTTCGGGAAGCTATCTTCAGGGGCTGTCGGAGGATACATCCCCCCGTATTTGCCTGATCAAGATCTTACCACGGCATCGCACGGCGTCTGACTGAAAACATACCTCCACCACATGATGCATTGTCGTTCTTCTCAGTCTCCTGCGTTCTCTGGAGCTGATAAACGGTGGTAAGGAAGAGTGCAGCACGCGTTCCAATGGCAAGGCCTATACCACCCCTCGGCTTTATAAGCGGCAGGGAAATGAAAGAATAAGTCCTCAACGGACGTACAGTAAATCGTCTCTGCTGTATCCGTCATGTCGCCATTGCCTACGCGTAAAATCGGAGAGGATTCTGTCACCGCCATTGGCTATGGAGCGATGGGTATAGCTGCTCACTACGGCAAGCCCTTGCCTGATGAAGATCGCCTCAAGGTACAGAGCACAAGTACCCCTAATATAGTTCCTGTTGAGCTGATATAGTTTCATCAGTTTCTTGACTTACTGTTCGAGAGCGGCTGCACCAATTGGGACACAGCGAACTCCTACAACGACTCGGAGGAACTGATTGGTAAATGGTATGTATCCTCTGGAGATAGGGTTTATTGTCTGACTGGTCAGGCTCGACAAAACTGGAAAACGAAAGGACATCTTCCTCGCTACCAAGTTCGGCTTCGCTCGCCAGCCGGATCGCCTAATCAATGGCGAGCCAGAATATGTCAGGGAGTGCATAGAGAAGTCATTGAAGAGATTACGCACGGACTACGTTGATCTCTACTATCTTCACCGGTATGCACGCCAGTTCCATTGAAGATTGATCTTGGTCTGACCTTCGGACAGTGCTGACCCGAAAGTACCCATTGAGCTGACTGTCGGGGCTATGGCTGAACTCGTCAAAGAAGGGAAAGTGAGGTACCTCGGGTTGTCCGAGATATCCTCGGCTACCTTGCGACGAGCACATGCAGTGCACCCGATCGCCGCTATCGAAGTGGAATACTCCCCATTCACCCTGGATATTGAAGACGAGAAGATCGGCCTCTTGAAGACGGCTCGGGAATTGGGCGTCAAAATCGTCGCTTATAGCCCGTTAGGCAGAGGCCTACTGACTGGGAGATTCGTGAGTGATGTATTGCCCCTACTTAGTGCAGGACTTCATTTGACCATAAGCTGTTCGCCACAGAGATCTCCTGATGACTTCTCTGAAGGTGATTGGCGTAGAAGTGTCCCTAGATACTCGAGGGAGAACTTTCCCAACATCCTCAAGCTCGCAGATGGATTGAAAACCATTGGTGAACGGCATGGTGCGACGGCTGGGCAAGTTGCCCTCGCCTGGCTCTTAGCTCAAGGCGACGACGTCATCCCCATCCCAGGGACGACAAAGGTTGAGGTCAGCGTCATTATTCTTCGTGAAGGCATAGTAATTCGCTCATCCCGGCCGCACAGAACCTGCGAGAGAACTTAGGTGCTACATCGATTAAGCTTACAGAGGAGGAAATTCAGGAGATTCGGATTTTGGCTGAGAAGTCCGATTCCGCGCAAGGAACACGGTATCCTCCGGGAATGGTTGAGACGCTCTACGCCGACACTCCCGCTTTGGCAAATCAGATGTGAGCGTCCACGAATGTATGTTGTGAACGTCTGTAAGGTGCAAGCAACGAGACCCGATTCGGAGCTTATCGTACGCTCTCGGGGGGTGATTAGCACCAAATTGGTACTATCACCTTTCCCTAATTATCGTGTGTCGGGAGACCTAGCGGTAGCGATCAGATAGGTACCTGGAATGCGAAAGCAGGGATCAAAGGCTGGGATGGCTCGGATGAGATTAGACAGTGACCACGAAACCCGTGGAAGCGCCGTCAACCGTCTCCTAGCGTACTATACCTTGCGGATCGAAGCTGGTACCGGATGAGTCCCGGCTGACTGTAAAACGATAGCATCTAGTCGTATTTTTACTCATAGCGGTAGCTCCAAAACCAAGCACTAGGCCTGAATTTATGAGTCTTCGCGGCCAGCTGGACGTTGGCGGCGTGAGCCAAAGGATGTCATACGTACGCACATCCGAGTCGGGAGTTGCAGTCTTCAGGACCGGGAATATTATAGGAACCAGACAATCAGAGCCCGCGGAATTCACTTTCGTACAATCTTTTGCTGCCCCTAAAGACTGCAACTCCCGCAGTCCGTACCGCGTTTTGTAGCAGCAGCGAAAACCTCAACTTTCGCAATCGTTTTGCAACTGACTACCAGCTCTCCCTCGCCAGGCGTATATGAAAGCGTCCCACCGAGTGATGGTGAATGTTCTGAATACGTCGTCGCACACAGCGGTGAGCGCGGACTGAGATAACAGAACTTGATAAAGCTGGCTCGCGGCAGAACAAAGTGTCAAGTTGCCACAATCATCTATAAATAGATGCAGCTCGTGAGTCCTGCTCAATACTGCAGAAATACGGACGTGACCTCGTCTGAAAACAACTCGTTTCCACTGCCGCTCACTGGCAATCCGGTTCAGTGAGATACTCGTATATCTGCCACTAAGCGCTAACTCAGCCCCCGTTTTTAGTATGCATTCTTCATCAACCGGCCAGTGGATGATACGGGTCCTGCGAGATGTTCTGATTCAGCATGAGAGGCAGTTTAAACTTTGCTAGTTGAGGCAAGACTTGCTTCATGGGGGCAACCCATGGACGACGGTAAACATTCCCGCTGTCTGCGCATAATATCTCTAGCAGAGATGTTCTGATTCAGCATGAGAAGTAGGTTCGGTTCTACCGTGTTGAGGCAAGACTTGCTTCATGGTGGTACCCAATGAACGACTGTAAACTTTTTCGGCTACGTTTCACTCCACTGCCGGTCAATCAACTACTCCCGCCCTAGTTGCATTGCTAACGTTTGAGACTACTAGATCAGCCACAAGTACGTGGACCCTCGATCCGACTCCGACGTCTCCGATCTGGAGCTGACGATGTGCACGGCCACAAGATGTCCCTGAACTCAAACTGACATGCAGGCCTCCGGCAGATAATGTGGCGAAACCTAGTGTTGCTCCAAGGATGGTGTCATAAAAGACGGTAGTTTCCATGGTACTGGGACCTTGTCCTGGTCTGCGCCTCACATAGCCCGGATAATCGATTACTTTCTGAGAAGATGATGTCCTGGCTCATCATCATATCGTTATTCTTTGTGCTCGTAGGGCTCAGGTACTCAAGGCTTAGCGGCAGGAATCCGCGACGGCTCCCTTTGCCTCCTGGGCCTCCGGGCTGGCCAATCATCGGGAAATTGTTCGATCTTCCTCATGTACACCCCGAACTCACTTACGATAAATGGGTCAAGCTATATGGTACGCTACTTGTGCTAGCTGGTGGGCACATGCTGACCACTGTTGCGCGAGGTTCAGGTGACCTGGTATCCGTACGCATCATGGGTCAACACATGATCATCCTCGGCTCGCTGAAAAGAGCTCAAGATTTACTGGAAACTAGGTCTACGATATACTCGAGTCGTCCGGCTGCTCCCATGGTGAATGACCTGTAAGCCGTCTAGTACTCCGATGATCAGTGTCTTGACTACTGCGGCAGAATTGGCTGGAACTGGAATACATCCCTTATGCCGTACGGAGATAAATGGAGAAAGCATAGACGGTCGTTCCACCAGTTCTTCAATTCAGCGGTGTGCCCGAAATATCGGGACGTTCAAGTACGGGAGTCGCATGAGATGCTAGGCCGCCTTCTTCAAGACCCTTCCAAATTCTTGGAGCACACGCACTAGTGAGTTATTTCAACAGTTTCTGAGAGTAGTTGACTGTAACCGCCGTCTATATTAAAGTGCGTTCGGTGCCCTAGTCATGGGTGTCTCATATGGCATCTCTCAGAGGGACGACATAGATAAGTATCTGAAAATCGTGGTGAAGGGCAGTGAACCAATGGTGGAAGCGGTCACACCCGGTGCTTTCCTCGTCGATCTATTACCCATTTGTACTCGCCCTTACTTCTTGGTCTGACCCTCATTACTAAGCAATCATTTCTCTCCAGTGAAGTATATTCCTACCTGGTTCCCATTCGCAAGCTTTAAACGTAAGGCAGTGATATGGAAGCAGTGGGGATTGGACATGCGAGATATACCGTATGAGGAGACTAAGGAGAGATTTGTGAGTTCCATCCAGGCAGAACATCTTCCAGATCAATCTGACGCACAGCTTCAGGTTAAGGGTGAAGCATTGCCGTCGGTGGCTTCGACGCTGATTCACAAAGTCTTGCAAGACCCCGATCAGAAGCAAGCAGATGTCCTCGCCAGAAGCACTGCCGCATTAGGATATGTTGGTACGCTATGATATTGTGTATATGGGTCCGCTGATATTTATCTCCAAGTATATCATAGCTGGAACAGATACTGTTGGTCTTAAACTTCTTCAATGTTTTATATGACCTAATCTGCTTCAGATCACGGCATTCACCCGGAACTTCTTCCTAGCAATGGCGAATAATCCTTATGTTCAGCGCAAGGCGCAAGAAGAACTGGATGCAGTCGTGGGATATGGTCGACTGCCTGAGTTCAAGGACCAAATTAACCTGCCATATGTGTGTGCGATCATCAAGGAAGTTCACAGGTGGCGGCCTGTAATACCATACGGTAATCCAACCACATTTTGCCCTTCTCGCATGGTTGATGCATATTATTCTAGGCTTTCCTCACATGTCTGTCTCTGATGACGAGTATGAAGGGTATTTCATACCGTCGGGCTCTGTGATAGTCCCCAACGTTTGGTATGTCGTTCTGTTCCGCGAAGAACCTGTGAATGCTGACGATCCAACCGGAAGGTCGATTTTACACAACCCTGAAGTTTATTATGAACCCGAAAGGTTTGAACCAGACCGATTCATTAAGGATGGCAAGTTGGACTTGACTGGCAAGGATCCTGAAGATGTGGCATTCGGATTTGGTCGCCGGTAAGTCGCACCATGCATCCTTCGGCACACCTGCTCTTACCTTGTCCATTAGAGTCTGCCAGGGTAGATGGTTTGCTAATGACTGGCTGTTTCTCATCGTATCCCATATCCTTGCCTGTTTCGTCATCGAGGCGCCTCGCGATGCGGAGGGCAAACCCGTGCGCCTTGCCCCAGAATACTCATCCGGTCTCGTCTCGTAAGCAACCCCAGTGCATATTAATCAGTCTGAGAGGTTGAGTGACCTACCTCCGCTAGGATGGCTGATAGCTTTGAATGCAACGTTAGGCCCCGTTCGGAAGCGATGCAGGAATTGATTTTGCATTTGCAAGAAGAGGATTAATAAGATACATCGCCTGGCATGGCTTAGAATCTCGAATATTGTCTGTTCATTCATGTTGTCTATGCTACAATCCCTCCACACAATATATGATCGTGGCTGCACCGCCTTTATTTAATGCAGGGAGAAACAAAGGTTTGATAAGGCAAAGGCAAATGCCGGGTTCTTTCTGACGGACCCGCTAAGTCCGGCTCTCATCGACCAGCATATCACTGTCATAGAGTCGTCGCTCTTAACGTCAAATCGCCAAGCCTCGATTCTCATGTGCGTTCGGATCACTGTGGTCCATTGGGATCAGATATCAAAGACAGCGCTAACTTTGGTTCTTTTTCCCAAGTTGTGTCTCCCGTGCCCTGTCTGGTATCGGGCTGAATCTCCTGCCTGGCTAAACACTTCACATCACGCTGCAGAAACACTTACAGTTGCAGATAGATCGTTCATACTACCCACGAGCGAGATGGTCGTTCAGCTGCCAGTCGAGATTCTCGATAAGATCTTCCGCTTCGTGATGGATGCGAGGCCTGATAGGCCTCAGAGTGAGTTACAAACTATAAGAGCAGCACGCCACGATCTGGCCAGTCTCGTCCTAACCTGTTGTGGATTTTGCCAGCCAGCGTTGGACGTCCTATGGCGGTCAATGGAAAGCCCCCTCCCTTTACTGTGGCTGTTGGGATCAGCACTCGCCTTGAGAACAAACGAATATGGATACCCAGTCGTGCCAGAAGACTACGTGCGATATCCTTGTTTCGTTCCCATTCTACTCCCTGAACTCTTTTCTTCAGATATTGTGCCAACCGGTGATATGCACTGACACACAACAATCACCAAGGACCAAAGGAAATAAACCTAGACCCCGTGATATGGGTGAAGGCGGTCCGAGACAACTGAAGGGTATTTAATAGTTCGAGGGGGAAAGGAGGAGTAAGACGCCGTAGGGTAGTCCGTAGGAAGACCTAGAAAAATAAAACAAAACCTTGACGCCTGAAACAAACACTAAGGGACGCTCCGGAGTATTTATCTCCGGAAAATCGCAGACAAAGTCGCAAACCACGAAACCGAGTGTAGGTTCGGGCCCACGGGAGTAGAAATTGCTAGAGAAACTTGGTTAATTTTATTTCACTATGCGAGACTCACCGGAGCTAGTTGGATCGATGGCGGAGATAATTCACTCGACGAGTCAGGCCTATTGGCAAAGCTAGGATCGGCTATAATTCGCTAAGTTCGACGCTTTCGAACTTCTCGGGTCGCTGAGATCGTAATGCTAATTCTCTGAGATGGTGAAGTCGAAACTTATTTTTCTGTATGCTACTTTGTACAATTTATACTACAGGAATGGCTTTGCGACCGTTCGGAGATAAATAACAAATAAACGCCGCTACCCACAGGATTGCTCAGCACTTTCCTCCGCTATACCATATACCATACGACTCTCTTGCGCTCCCACTTGCTCTTTCCAGCCCCTATAGGTCGCCTCGACGCTTCACCACCTGACCCAAGCGGTCCCATCACTCCGTGCGACACGCCGGTCACGTGTTAATTACCTCCGGCCGTTTGCTGACTGATGCTGACCTTATGGTGACTCGTATGCGTCCGCACCTTCGGTATCTTGACGGAAACGAGGGGGAGTGAGTGCTGGAGGGTGGGCATGAGGAAGACGCCCCTCGATAGAAGTGTCCGCGGGTCCCGGATCTAACGCAGCTAGAAGTCGCATTGGTTAAGTAACTCCGGAGCTTCGGTGCGCGAGATAAATCGCTGATGGGTCCGAGTACGCCTCGAGGGTGTTGGGAAGTCCG